GGTTTGCCACTTGAAATTTCCCAAAGTATTACCCCGAAACTATAAATGTCAGATTTCTTATTACGTTTATATTGTTCGTTTCCGAAACATTTAGGATCAATGTATGCTGTCATTCCATGAACTTCAGAATTTGAGGTTCTTGAATTCTCGTCTTTTGATAAGCCAAAATCAGCAATCAACATTTTTTCTTCGTGAACTAGAATATTTTTAGAATGCTGAAAATAAAGAATGTTTATTAGCAAATGTAAATTGATTAAACATGGTTGTTATTAAAAAAAAAACAAAAAAAAAACAAAATAGTGTATGATTTATACATGACATAGAAATTAGTTGCAATAATATTTTTAGATAGAAATAAAGCCACAAGCCATAATTTATACAGCATATGAAGCAAAACAGAAATTTAAATATATGTCATAAACTAAATTAATAAATTGCAGCGTAATTAATGCGAAATTAGTGATTGGACTAACGATGTTAAATAAGTGATTCTTAACAATAATTTATGAAGAATCTTTTTTTTTTTTTTTTAATAGATCACGGCGTGACAATTGAATTTTTAGCATCTGTTGTCCATCACTACCTTTGGCCAAGCCGAAACGATACGTATACGTGCGGCTAATTTTGACTTGTGATATTGGCTATGAATTGCAGCGCAAATATTTGGCTTTAGGCAATGCCGCATATTAAAGTTCAGGTGAAAATTATACTGCAACACTTTCTATTTCATGTATAGTATTATTCACTTTGTAGTTGACACTCACGAGATCTCTATGAATAATATTATTTTTATGTAAAAACTTAAGACCATCTGAAATTTCACGGGCTATTCGTAATTTATCAGTCCATTCAAACTTTGAAAAATTATTTTTTAAATATTGGCGTAAATCTCCATCATTTGCGAATTGTAAAACTATATAGAATCCACTTGAAATATCTATTATTGAGTAGATTTTTAAATTAATTTCATGTGTAAGCAACGCAGAATATTTAGTTATTATTTACTAACCTTGAGTAACTCCGTAAAATTCAATAACATTTTGATGCTTGTAAACTTTTTGTAAGTGCTTAAGCTGAATAAATATAATGATCTGTATTTATTAGATTATCATAATATTTATGTATTATTGTTGTAGCCAATAATATAACTTCTTACCTCCTTAATAAATTCTTGCATAGTCTTCTCTTGGTTCGAAGGTATATTGATTAATTTTTTAAGAGCAATTGATTTATACACAACTCCGAATCCCCCTTTACCAATTTCTTTAGGGTCAGAAAATTCAGTATAGTCGTAAGATTTGATGTCCCCTCGATTAATAGCGTCTATAA